AAACAGACCTACAGACATGCATGCATGCATGCATGCATACATGCCCACATGGCGAACGGTAACCCCCAGACCCTAAGCTTGAAGTCAATGCTAGCAGATTGCAGCACGTTGTGTGCCAGATCGTCTTCTAGTTTAGAGTTCTGAGGCCAGATCCTGGAACCCTCTCTGCACAGAACTTAAGCCCTAAACCCGAAACCGTAAATCCCCAAACCCCTCAACCCCAAACCGCTTTATAGCCTTTGTGCATTTTCCCTTAAAGAGCATGTCTGGAACTCTTATACTCCGCTTACAGAGGCTTCACGGTACCTTCGTAGACGCCAAATGCGACCCGTGTCATATCCTGTGGTCAGGCGTTGAACCTCATCCACGAGCGACGATGCCTCCAACTCGTACGGGCGCCCAGGATCGGCTTTCGTTCCTTCAGTTCAAGTTCTGCAGCTAAACCTCAGACCCTACAAGCCATTTAGATTAACCAGTGAGCTTAAGTCACAAGAGGATCTCGTGAAATATATATATATATATATATATGTATGTGTGTGTATGTGTATGTATGTATGTATGTATGTATGTATGTATGTATGTATGTATGTATGTACATACATAATACATACATACATACATACGCACATGCAGACAGACATACATATTGATCTGCTATACAAATATATATATATATATATATATATATGTTGTATGATATATGTGTACATGTATGTATATATTTCTTCGTTGAGGGGTTTTGGAGCCTCGGGGTTCAGCCCAGCTTACGACGCGAAGCATCAGCCGAGGTCAAGAATCTCACCGCAGCCCGTGCCTCACACAAGTCCGGTTTTCGAGATCGGCCTCAAGCACATGGACTTGTCTTCTATGCAATGAACTTTGTGAGGTTTTGTCAGACTATGTTGTGTCATGCGAAGTTGTTTTAGATGACATTGCGTTGCACTGCATTGCATTTCATTGTATTGCATTGGGTTGCAGTGTTTTGTACTGTACTGTACTCTACTGTATTGCACTATCATTTGCTATCTTGCATTGCAGTCGATAGTAGTATTGTGCTTTTATGCGTTTAGATTGTGCTATGCTTTGTTGTGTTATAATGTATTATTTCAAGCCTTGTTAGACAGTGTGTGATTTGACTGCATGTTTACACCATGCGAGACTCTGTTCTAACATTGGTTTATGCTCCGTTGAGATGCTGTATTCTATTCTAGTCTATGCTATCCTATTCTATGCTAGTTTCCCATTCTGTTATATTGGGTTAAAACTATGTTACATCATAGAATATGATACTATGCTGCATCATAGGATATTGGATTGCATTCTACAGTGTTTGTCATGCCATTTTCTTAAGACTTGCCATGTTGCATAAGAGCCCCCCCAAATCCTAGACCCCCTAAAGGTGGTTCTGGAGAAGGACGAGGTGTTGCTCAACGGACTAGTCCGGGCCAAATTCCAAGACGAGGCACAATAGTCTCATAAAGCAGCAGCGGCTCTTGACAGCTTTAGGGCTTAGGTTTTACGGTTGAGAGCAGTAGCTTCGCATTCATGGTCATACCGTCCTCCGGCCATTGTCTAGCTGTGCTTACGTGATCATGCTCGCACTTGTGTCGCATGCTACATAATTGTATTGGGCTGGGAATCGTCATAATGTGCCTATGGTAGTATGCGTCATCAACTGGTTTTCTGCAGGTGTGCATGCCTTGACGTGCAATGAGTATATACCCTTGTTTGTGTGCTGCCATATGCACCGCCAATCCCACTCTGTTCTATACCTTTACCATGGCAAGTAACTTCACATTATGTAGCAATGTAGCACATTGACCTGTGCAGTTGTTGCTTCGCCGTTTTTGCGACCTTAGTGTTTCAACCTCGACTGGAAAGAGGTACGCCAGTATAGGTCTATGTTCTATGCTTTGCTCGCTGTTGTGCTGCCCCATACCATGTTGTTTTGCTAGGTAAATCCTACCATACAGCAACTCGTGGTCTTGTCTTCAGTGCGTCGTGTGGCAGCATGCGTTGTCAAATCAAAGCGCAAGATTCTACGGGGAGATTTGAGAAAGAAGGGGCTGCTGTCCGGTCGTCCTTACATAGCGGGGTCCCTCCCTCGAGGACAACACAAACCTTCAAAAAACTCCTATAGCACCATTGAACGCGCGACCCTCTAAACCATCCTTTCAAGACACCCCCCTGGCCCCCCTCCCCATATCGCTCTATCAGGTCGCACCGGCTGTGAGGAAACAGATCCAGCATCTGCCTTTTTGCTTTCCCTGTATTTAGCTGGTTTCAGTTCAAGTCAAGTCCGGCAAACCTTTCTTTTTATGTATCCTTTAAGGAGCAGCGAGATCCACATAACCATGGTATTGCCAGTACAGCAGCCCTTGGTGCAGCGCAAACGCTTCCGCTGCTACGGTATGGCTGTATGAAGGAGTTGTCGTTCCATTGTTCCGTATGTGTCCGTTTCACCCAGCATGTCGATCGGTTCTGTATGATTCCAGGTAGGATGTTCGAACGTTCGTCCTTCTGCAGCATGGTTGTCTTGGGTTCCCGTGCGTGACTGCTTGGGCAGGCGGAAGCCAAAGCGTTTGCGAATATCCTTCCTTTCTTTGAGGCATGTAGGGTTGAATTTTAGGGTTTAGGGTTTTGGGTTTGTGGATCCATGGTCTCTTGTCTCAGTCCTAGGGCAACCCAATCAGGGTTTGAGGACCATGATCTGGCTTCCACCGGGTTGAGCAGGTGTGTCCCCGTTGGGGGTACCTTAAACCATAGGCCCGGTTCCGGGGATTCCGTTTCTCCTTTACGGGTTCTGCTCCGCGATCGATTAGGAATCTAGAATCCGGGTATTCTAACTTAGAAGAAGGCAAAACGCTGACTCATCATATCCAGGGTTACTAGAACCTTGTGCCAATTCTCGGGTAATAACATCACGGCATCGCAGCCGCTCGGTTTGTCAAGTATTCGTGGAATGGGGACGCGGACACTCACCCACGTGCATATACACACCTATAGTGTATGTGCATGTACATATCCTGCATATGATATGTGTACACAGTATGCATGC